GCAGCTTACCCTCCCTTTTGTCAAGCTCTTTATCGTACATAGGAGTCAATTGGTAGCGAAGTCCCTGTTTGAAAATGAAGGGGGTTAAGTGTCGAAGACAACAATAACACTGCACAAACACTAGTTCATGACCAGTATCTTCTTTAGATATTACACAAGAGAATAGCAACCGAAATGGACTCTAATACCAGAAGAAATTTCTACACCTTAGACTACGAGCAGTCTCTCTTTCTTCTGTAGTCCGTCTAGCAAAACGCGAGACAAACAAATGGCCACGCGCGCGTGCACTCCCCTTACTAAACCGGAAGAAAAAAAGAGACTGCTCGCAGTCTATCTACACCCTGTCTCGTTTCCCAAATGTAATAATCTGCAAATAGTTTCTCCTGTCATTCATTTGCTAGTAGCCCCTGAGGTCTGCCGCCTGTAAGATTTATATTCTGCACTGTGAGCTCATTGTACTGCCCAGTCAGTTATCCTATTGAACGGCACACAGCAGGAGAAGCGTTAAAAAAACTTTCTTAGTCCATACTGCGACTGAGACATACGGCTACTGAGCATGATTTCTTTCGAAGGATCTGTGTAAAAGAAAATAATAAAAATGCAAAAAAGAAGATACTCACGGAAGACACAAAAACAAGTCCGTCAGGGAGAAGAGCAATATCTTCAGAGCCATTTGCTTAAACACAGGAAACAGAATCGGTTAAGTACCCCCGATGCGGCTTAGTGAGAGATAATTTAGCCAGAGCAAGTGGCTGCACACACCCGTATCAACACAACCAAGTGAAACCCAAGAGAAAACCAGTGGAAACCCGCGGCTTAGTAACTTAGGCATCCACACAGCAATATCAATCGTGGGTTGATTTCGGTGCGGTGGTGTGACCTTTGCTCAACGGTTTATTTCTTAGAGTGGGGTGAATGCAACAAACCCTCAATACATGTTGATTCAGCATAAGGGTGGAAAACTCAGTGGTAACTGATTGATAACAAGAAGCCGCTTACAGCGGATTCAGTCTCGCTTGCTTGAAGATTAGATTGAGAAATGAGGGGGCGATTAATTCTACACGAAACGAAACAGATTTACTCGCTAAATGTTTTTTACTTCCTACTTAATCGACGTCGATACTTTTAACTTGTTTCTGAATTGATTTAGTACGCGTGTTAGCAACGACCGGAAATACGTCTGCGATCGCAGGCTATACGCGTAAATTCAAAGGCCTCGATTCCAGAGCAATAGCATCATTGCCAGATAACGAAAAAGTGATTTATATGGCACGTCTTTTCAATCATCGCCGAAAATAAATCGCACGCTCATCCCAAGACTCATTTGCATACAGTGAAGACCATCACAATTTTGCTAATTCAGATTCTTACTTTTTTTCGACCACTCAGTAGTGTTCACTTGCTCCAAAGTAATCAACGCTTTCAAGCGATAGATTTCGTGGACCGACACGTTTCCGAAAAGCTCTAAATTTAATCTTTCCTAAGCTTTCTTCGCAAAACATGCGTGGCCTCCATCATGCAACGATTCTTAGTCCCAGTTTCCACGGTTTCCGCAAGGAACGCCTGGCACAATGACCCCCCATTTCTGACCCAAAAACGACAAACATGCCCGGGGGTGTTCTTCCAAAAAAATTGGGTTGGGGTGTGCGACACGCTTCCTGAAACTCTTACCCTATTTCAAACCAAAATCTGTGATTTTCCCTATGATCAAAAATTTGATACCGTATTTCAGACCTGAAGCCCTGGAGCCCGGCGCGTGACTGGAGCGCGTGACAGGCTGTTACGGCACGTACACGGTAGTTGGCGTAAACATAAAAGGGAAATGGTCTTATCGCCAAATGATGAGGAAGTAGCTAATTCTTCAAAAAAGACTAGAGTGCACAAACCATACCCTGAACGTTTCTTCTTCCTGGAGGGTTAAAGTGGCATTTTGTAGAAAGTATCGTAGGTACTATCCATTAAAGAAGAATTTAAGGCTGGCTACAAAACAAACGGACCATCTCCTCGCGCCTCAAAGCGAAGCGCTATAAATTCCTCAGTTGACAATAACCGACAAATCCGCTCAAAATTGCCATCGGCTAATCTGCAGATAACGAGTGCTCCGGCTGGCTCCACAAAACCCATCGCAACTGCACGCTTCGCGTGGAGGCGTGTGGAGATGGTCCGTTAGTTTTGTAGCCAGCCTTTAATTCTTCTTTAGTGGATAGTACCTACGATTGCAAAACTCAACAAAATGCCACTTTAACCCGCCAGGAAGAAGAAGGAGACGTTCAGTTAAAGGTATCTTATTTCGACTTTTCGTCATATTTCGACTTTTGGACTATTTTAGTTCATGGGAGTTTCGACGACTCATCCCATTTTGTCCATGTGAATTATTTAATTGACACACACTACGTCTGGGCTGCCTCTGGTTCACCGAGCTACCGTCACAAACACTTGCGATACTCTGTTTGAAGAATAAATGAAACAATTCTCACCTGGTATTACCTTGCACGGTCCAGGAGAATGATTTATGATGTGGGTGAAAAAACCATTCAAAACCCTGAGGAGTAATATATGTAAAGACATGTAAGGTTCAATACTCAGTATCTTGAGTTCAATCAGTCAGTAAATCAAGCAAACAATATTGGAAAGGATAAATTGCATATCAATCGACCGATTGACTCACAAAAATCTAAAGACGAATGATGCTATAATGGTAATGGCAAAAAACAACGCAAATTCTCCGTTTCGACCCATTATTCAGGTTCAAGTTGTTTTGAAAATGTGCGCTGTTCATCAGTCAGTTGCGTTGTGACTGAGCGCATGGAAGTCAAATGACCTTGTCAAGTCACGCAAGGCGGGTTTACTCAGTATTACCATATTACATAAATTATCATTCATTTCATCCAACAGAAACCAGTTAGTGGGCTGACTCCGGCTAAAAGCCTGGTAATGTCACATCCAAACTCCAAAAATGATATAAAATAAAAAGGTGACAGTGCTGTGAGTTCTGCTGGAAAAAGAGAAGTACAGTAGTTTTCGGATTTATTACATGTAAAGGTTAATCGGATCTTGTAGGGATTAATTAACAACATTCACTAATCCTAGAGTACAGTATTCATTCCGATACAAGAATTTATTTTAGATTCCGGATTCAAAATCTGCGGACACATGACCAAACGTTCCATGAATCTGGGGGTAAAAGGCAAGAAGGAATCCGGTACTAAAATGTTCCACAATTTTGAATTTGTTAATTAACATTTCTTAGCTGTTCTTAGGGTTTAAACTCATATTGTGATCACTAGAAAAAGTGTAAATGTCATCAGCAACTAGATTAAGTAGGCTGCAACCGTTAATTCCTAGGCAAGATTTTGAGAGCTGTGGTGTCATCAACAAATTTAATTCTCAGTGTCCAATCCTTCCGTAGGTTGTTAGTCATTACCGTAAACAGGCTAACACCAAGTTTTGTCCCCTGAGGCGATGCCACCTTTGAGGAATTTCCAATCAGGCAAAAAATTCCCGATTCTTACAGCCTGCCTTCTATCGCTCAAGAATGCCTCTATCCAGTTAACCAGCACGGGATGAATAAAGCTTGATAGTTCCTTCAAGAGTATGTTATGATCAAAAAGATCAAACTCCTTGCAGAAGTCGGCAATAAGTATCCTCGCGGCACATTCCCCCGAGTGTCTGAAGCCTCATGAACTAGGCTGTAAGAAGTAGATTAGGGTATCAGCGGTAGAATGACCTTCCCTAGCGTATTGAAGGGGGTCAATGTTTTCTGCTATTTGAGAAATAAGCCTGCTTCTCACGAATCCCTCCATAACCTTAGTGATAGTACAGCTGATAGTACATGTCAAAGCGATCGGTCTCAGATCGGATTTACCTTGTTGAGAAGGGGAAACTTTAGCTAGTGGGTTTACGATGGAACTTTAAGTAGATCAGGCACATATCCTTGCTCTGACCTTCGATTGTAGAGCAGCGAGGCGTTTCGTTTTTTTTTTTTTTGTTTTGTTTTTTTAATTTTTTAACGAAAGCGCGACCCAGAGGTACGTTGATTGCGGTCGCCATCATGAAAGCAATTGGAAAACTAAGGAAGGATGGGCGAGTAACCCTCTCTAGCCCCCTCTTGGAATAACTTTTCACCTCGCCCCAACTCTCTGTCAGTTTCAACGTCCAGATCGTTCGCATTGCAAAATACGCCTGCTTTGCAGAGGCTAACTCAGGGCATGCCGGTCAGGTATCATGGGTCTGAACCAGTCTTACTTCCTTTTCTATAGTCTTTTCTCTTATGGTATATTTCAGTATGGTGTATTTGCAGGCTATGATAAGTATCTCTCTAGATTTTTATCCGGGATGTCTTTGTTTGGAACGAAGACCTGTATTAAGAATTAATTGTTAATTTTTTCCTTTCTTATGTGTCAAGTTCCCATGCCCCTATGTCAAACTATGTAAGTAACTGTCACCGTGAAATCATGGATTCGAATCCGATAAACGTTCAGTATTTTTTTTCCTTCGCTAAGAAGCAAACTGCTTGAGGTCGTTTCTGGTGCTCGCAGAGTCAAAACGCATAAGGGTGGCGCGGTTTCTGTCACGGACTTTTCAAAACGCCATCTTATATTACAGCTTGTTTTAGTCAAGAAAACTGTTAAGCAAAATAAACAAACAACACAATCTGCCGTTTCTTTATGATGAATCAAGTTCCTCACATGCGCTAAGGAGTATACATCCACTTGTCTTTTAATCAACATGAACGAAAGCACAAAGGCACAAGACTGAGGACATAAGACCCCGGTTCAAGCAATCGTGGAGGACTGAAAACAAGTTGCGAATATTTTTTCTTCAGTTTATTTTGCTATTCTAAATTTGCGACACAAAGAATGGCACAGAACGTAACTGAACTTAATAATTATTTACTTTTTAAAATCCCTTTATTTACCAAAACGCAACCAAACTGCCTCCGCACAGCTAAAACTGAAGCTAAATCTATAAAGACAACCAGAAACAAAGATAATCATGACGACTTAGTGTAAACACGCATTCCTCGAAAATAAAGCTCTTTTTGTTGAAGTTGCCATGATGTACTGCGCATGTGCAATAACAAAAGGTCTGACAAAATAGTAAGGATCGGTAGGTTATCTATTTTTTCGCGGTTACTTCTTGTGGAGAAGAATCCTCTTCAACATCTTCGGGTGATGCAACAGTCAATTTATCCGAGGTACTTTTTCCTTCTTGTGAAGGCGACTTCTCATTAATTGTGAGGGGTCTTCTGCGCCTACTCCTAACTAGGAAGAAAATGACCAGAATGATCGCTGCTGCTATTAAACACGTTGTCACTTTTACACGATATCGCGCTTCATAACCTGAAAAACATAATTAAAATGATCAAATCGACATCTTCAGTATACTTAACCGATGAAAGCTGAAATTCAGCTCAGTAAAAATGCTTTTTTCACATAAACCACAGGGACTTTGATAAACAAACATGGCATATCCTGTTAAACAATTGCGTGTGAGAATTGTTTTCTGCTTGTCAGGTAACAAGATGCAACATTACTGACCATATGGGAATGCAGCATATGTTGAGTAATGTTGAAGCTGTGTTTATGATGTGCTTCAAAGTCCGTTGCGTTTAGTCTAAAGATTATTAATTAACTGCCTTTTTCAATGAGTATTCACTCTCTGTTCAGTTGCAGATTTTGTTTACGTTGCAATATTTTTTTAAAATCTGTCAGATTGACAAGATTGTCACGTGATCTTTATAGCATTCCATCCGATTTTTATCGATTTCTAGTGTCTTCACTGTGTTACCTACCCTGAGTTTGTGTTGCAATATTTATTTCAATAAACGATTCCACGGCCTGTTTAGATGCTATTCCAATGTTGACCCTTCTAGTAGTGTGGATATCAAACATGCACTGCCTGTTATGGCCACACACGTCACGTGCCTGCAGACCCAAGGCAGAATCATCAAAGCTTAACTCCTCTTCATCCAAAAATGTCGGTACGTAGTTAGCATCGAAGTAAAATGCATGACTTTTGCCTTCTTCGTAAGTAAATAAAGAAATATTGCCGGTTGTAACCCCTGAAATAGAAAAAACTCATTGTAAATATAAATTCTTTTAAAGAAAACTAAAATTTAATCATAGGTCTTTTTAATAACTCGTATATCTAATCTAGGCTTTCACCTATATTGCAATTAAGTGCACTGCCTATTTGTTCATTTCCGTGATTGCCTGAAAAAACATTCATTACAATCCTTAATTTTGATCTATTTTGCGGAATTCAAAATGATGTCTTTAAAGGGTTGCCATCGAGGGAATGAGACAATATGTCGATACTCCCTCATTTTTAATTGCATTTTTTAATTCAAAATTTCCTAAAAGGATTATAATCTTTAGGGATGTTCAACAGATCGAAAAAAGGTTCGTTTGCTCTTCAATAAGCTTCAAGTGTCTAAAGCGGGCTATTAAATGCGTCTTTTGCTGTGGAGCGTAGAGAAAAGTATATTCCTCTTAAAATAGCTTTTGCAACACTGTGTGTACTTGTGTGGTCATGCAAATAAAATTCGTCGTTGGTTGGTTGATAAACTATTTTGCAAAGTGTTTTCCGTCTCGTAAGAAAGACAAGCTTGACCTGAGTCAAATTTTTCAGCGTTATATCTGTAGATTTAAGTGCTTACACTGTTGCCCAAATTCATAGTGAAGTCTTCTGGATTCACTTGGATTGATGTTAAGGAAGACCCCATCAGGAAGCAAGAATTCTCGGTCCTTATTTCCATCCCAGAATCCCATGAGGCCACTTGTGTTTCCTATAAAGCGTTTTAGAAACGTTAGAAATATATACTGAAAAGTGAAGATAGCAAAAATTGTTAATCATGTCACATTTTATAGTCATCTTGCCACAACTTCTTCCGCTCGCCAGCATTCAGCCACCCAGCGTCTTTCGGGTAAACTAGCTGACCACAGTTGTATAAAACGAGAAGGCTCTGGGGACGAGGTTGCGTTTGTACAGAAACTCAAACCCCTTATGAGTTTCTGGTTGGGATGAGCATATGTAATTTATTTGACTAATTTCAGAGCAAGCATAATTTTGACAGGACCTGTGGCTTTTTGGACCTGATCCAGTGCAAACTACACTTATAGACGAGAAGTAATACAGATATTGGACAGGGCACATGAAATAGAGGAGGGGATCCGCTCCATAATTCTTCATACCTGTATTATTCGAAGGCCGAATCCAACGCATATAGAACTCATTTATTGTTCGTTCAACACTCTTGGCTAAGCTCCTAACATCCTCACCTGTACGAAATAATTCTTCACAACACTTTCCTGTAGTTTNTAGGTAGTTATGAAAAATTAGCCAGAGGACTCAGGCCAATCAGAGACGGAGAAATCTTTTGATAAAGAATGATAACACAGTCAGGATATAAATTATTTGAGTTAAATCAAAGTGAGACTAGACATCTCTAGTATTCACCGCACCTTTAAATATCGGAGGCACCAGCATCATGATTTGCAATATATCTGCTTCAGCTTTTTCGACTGTAACTGATATTCCAGAGTTAAACATGACGGAGTATTTAGAGGTGTTTTCACATTTTAAGATAGCGACGCCGTTAAAATCCATCATAAACTGCTCGGCATACTCAGTGACGACGCCATTAACCAAAATCTCCATTTCATTGCGACCGTTAATGTGGACCTGTTAAGAGACAGACCGTTTAAATTTTCTGGTTTAGAAAAAATTCGCTTGTCAAATAACCTCTTACTATCTTGAGATCAAATGCTGTTTGGGACTAGTCTTGGTTACGTGACAGATCAGAAATGTCTAAAAAAATTAATTTTTAGCTTTATTTACAGACCCTGTTTTTAGTCCTCTAATGACCTATAGGTTCGGCAGTCTTTGCGTTAGTCATCACCTGAATAAGATCTGATCCGTCTTCTTTCATAGCAAACGCTTTGTAAACTGTAGCATTACTCTTTACTCCGTCTGCAGTGATCAGTGGCTGCATTCTTCCCTGAAGGCTAAATTCAGGACCCGTTACATGAAGAATCTGATACTCTCCGTATCCATTAAAAGTGTACTCCACGTGGTCAAGTGTGACAATGTGAGGGTCGCCGTAAGACGTGGCTACAGAAAGAAAAAAATGTGTTACACCACAACAACTATTGATTAAATAGCAGCAGCGTGGCTGAGTGGTCAGTGCGTCGGACTCGTAATCCGGGGGTCCTGGGTTGGTGCCCTGCCCTGGCCACTTGCTGGATTTGTCCTTGGTCGCCCCTCGAGTTCAAATCCTTCAACCTAATTAGCGCAGTTAAGTTATGGTTAGTTGGCCTCAAGTGATTGGTGCATTTAGATCTTTATTAATAGTTGCGAATACACGAATTAATCCCACACAGCCAATCGACAAAACCGTCTGATGAAGACCGGCAATACGCCGCACAGGGTCCTGAGGAGTTTCGTGTGAATAAATGAATTACTTCTTTAAAGTCTCACCTTGAAAAATGTCTATACCCGTCGCTTAGCACGATTAATTAGCCCAATGGGATCTTTATGAATCTACTGTAAACGATTTCTTCGCTTGTTATCTGACCCAGATCGACATTGTTGTTCGCCATTTTGAAAATCAATAACCGCAAGCCATATCCTCGCTGGCAAACGGCACGTCGCCCGAAGGGCGACCGAGGCACGAAATACCGATTAAAAAAACGTATTTTATACTGTAAGCCGATCTTGCGAGCCCTCAGTCTCTTGGTTTGCGGTCTATAGTATGTGTAACGAAACTGTAACGCGATCAAAATGACCCATTTTTTCAGAGGTTTTCGACGGGTTTTGATGTTCTAACGACACACACATCACCTCTGGACCCTGTGTACGCCGTCAAAAGGTCGCAACCACCAACAAGTGACTTTCCTAAGGCAAACGATAACCAGCAAAAGGTTACCTCAATACATAGGGCTCATCTGGGAACCCTAATCGCTTGGCCGGGCATGGATGCGCTGTGATTTGTGGAAAGGGATCTTAGATTATCTTAATACAGGAAAAAAAACTCTACATCCTCTTTTATGAGGAACTGTCATTGATATCCGGTAACAGAGTCAATGCAAAGCCCGGTGAACACCGTCCCTCGGTACTTCAGCTGGCTTCATACCTGGTCTTGGTGGTATGTACTTAGCCCCATCATTTGAAGGCCTCTTTTCAAAGTACTTTTTACAGTTGTCGGAGAGCATGCAGCAATCCCAGTAGGGAACAATATCGTGAAAGAAATGAGATAGAGCTGGTACTCCTGCCTCCACATGGACTCGATCCAGGGATCCTCCGTTGCGTGGGCCAACGATTAAGTCTCCTATTTCATTATAACAGCATTGTTGACCTGTACCTTGGTTACTATGAAAATGAATAAATATATAAATAAATAACGATGTAAGCGAGCAGGTTTGCGTCGCCATTCTGGAAGTTGTAAATCGTAAAATTTGACTTGTTCTTTAACTTTCTGCATAAGCGAAATAAAAATATAGGCCTTCATTTAAGGCATTTCATTCATTAAAGAAACAGTCAGAAAGGGGGGAAATGACTGACAATCGATTTTAACTCGTATCGATCTAGTTAAGACTTACAAACAAGCAGAAATCCCTGGTCATTAAAATTACCTAGGAGAAGTTGTTCTAAAGCAAAGCGTTGCTCCATGGTAATAAACACCGCAATAAAGCTGATCAGCGGTCACCGGATTACTGTATTCATCGATAGTGAAACGGCCACGATCCGCAAGGGCTTGGGCTCTAGTGTGCGGGCAATGAAGAAGGGAGATGTCGTCTGAAACAAAAGTTGAAGAAGATACATGACTTCAAAGGTGTATTTTGAATGACTTCATGCAAGAGAGAATGAGCTAGATCATTCTCTTTTGCTTCATGTTATATATCATATTTTGATTTAAAAATAGGATGGACTTTCTGATGAAGTCTTTTCAGTTTTCATTGGAGAAATTCCGTGAGGGTCCTTAACCACCAGCTTATCTACTGTAGATAACCGCTACTGCTGTCTATGTACTGTACTGCTAATAATGCTTGTCTTCTTTCTCCAGTGGTTTCAAAGATGGATGACTAAATCCCCTGGATAAATCTTTATTCAGTGAATAAGACAATTGGTTTCCATAATACTTTTCCTTTCAAGGGTTAGTGATTTATCCGGTAGGCGGGATAGCTCTATACAGCCTTTGAGTAACCGGGGACTGGCTGTTGGTGATCTTTAGGCTAATTGTTTGTGAGAACCAGTTATTTCCAATAGGCTATCTCTAACTTAGTATTCGGTGTCTTTTATTTAAACGAGCCTTGTTACAATGAAGTAATTCAGTTTCGAGTAATCATAGGCTATACTAGGCCGTCTTGTGAATTATAGAAAATTCTTTCTGAAGGGGTGATTTATGTTTATAGAGTTTTGGAAACCGTTACACTCTTTTACACTTAATACCTTGATGAAGGTCTATTGCAATTTGTACATAATTAATGGGCGTTTACAACAACGAAGCCAGATGAAGTAAACCGTGCTTTGTTTTCAACAATGCAATGCAATTTATTACAATACAATACAAAACACAATACACATTACATGATATAATACAACGAATTAAACAATTACAAAACCTTTCATTGACATTTCCAACCTACCAAGCAATTATTACTTAAAATATTTTAATATAAGATCAGTAAATGGGTTTAATACCTAAGGAAACAAAATATGAACGGGAAATGCCTAATTTTTAGACTAATCGAAAGGTTTCCGAGTTAGACACTAGTTCAACTCAAGTCTGAAAAGCAACGTAAACTGAACACCATGCATCGCATGTTCATCAACAAAAGTAAACTTTTATTTGATCCGTGCCTGCCAAACCATTTGAGTATCGAGCGGCCTCCCATGACTTACAAAACTTCTTTGAGCCAATCATAAACCTATATTTTGAGACGCCATTATTGCAAAATAACGTCAACACAACCAGTCAGAAGACTGCCTCGGTTTGCGACAATAGACAATAAAGAAGTTAATGGCCATATTTTGACATATCATATGGGTGGGTTAATTTGGAAACATTACTTACCGGTATATATTATGTGGTGTGGTTGCTTCTCATACCAGTACAAACATCGTTCGTTAGCAAACTCCTGACTTTTCCAGAAAAAAAGATCGCTCCAGATCCACTCGGCCGAAGCAAAGCTACTCTTGTTGCCTGTTCTTCTTACTGTCACAAGCGTAGTAAAACGGTCCTTTTCACCTGAAGCTCTAAAAATATGCATTGATTAGACTAAAAACCTATTTGGTAGTTCCTTAGATTAACAATTGTAGATCGTCTATCGTCTATCATTCATAGTCCATAGTCCATCGTCCAGAATCTATCGTCTGGTTTTTAGTAAATGTCTAGTAACTTCATTTTATTACATCTTCCAAGATATATTGTCAAACAGCGACTGACCAAAATCTATCACTCTTAGCCTCGCAGCACTGTAACATTTAATTTCTATTTATGTGCCCTTCCTCCAAATTACTGAACTTAACGTAAAACGGGAAAAAATAATTTTATCTTGAATCGGGAGCGCTTGAATACGTTAATTGTTCCAATACCTACCCCTGTCCCTCTTTCTTTGGTACAACAAAATGAGCTTCTCCAGTATTCAACTGTTCTGTTATCAAAGTGAACATGCTATGAAAAGACACGTGATCATCATCCTTCATAGAAAAGCGCACCAACTGAACATCCACAGTCTGATTCTGCTTGCCGAGATAGACTGGGTCCCAGGTGATATTAACAGGCTTCTGTTCCTCCCATGATTCTGAGGCTACTCGAGAAACTCGAGGCTCATCCCTGATGATACTCACTGAAAGTAAGATTAAATCGTTCTTCGCTTAAAGACCTTAAAAGTTTAGTTTAAGTTTTAGTTTTTGAAGTTTTTGTTTTGGTTATTCAGTTTGTTTTTGTACCGAGGAGAAATTAGAAAACTGGTATCGTTGTAAGAGTGTCTCACATAGTTAAAATGGAGTATCTTTGATACTTCAGTTTATTTGTAACAAAGACCTTCATTCATAGCGCTATAGCTTTTGGGCGTTTTTCTGCTTCTTCAACCAGTACTTTATTAAAGCGGCTATGAGTCCCCAGTTACTGCCGTTCTGACACTTTGAATTCAATCATTTATTCAGTCATTCAAGAGAAAGACTAAAAGAAAAGAAGAAAAGAAAGACTAAAAGCATAGCAACGTTAATCGAAGCCGAAAGTTTTTAGAAAAGCCGTCAGCCATCAGATGGTCTTTTCCAATGCAGTCTTAATTACATGCGTGTTTATAATTCATTTTCATTTTCCTTTTGATTTTGCTAAAAACATTACTCGCTTTGCTTTTTTCATTGTTCGAGTGTTCAGGGCTTTATTATAAGTAAAAAAAAATACCTATTGTTAAATTTCCTTGAAAATTAAAGCTCGCTCCCCCATTGACGGATAGCTTGATTGACAACCTGCCAGTTATGTTAAGCATAGGTACAGTACATGATGCCCGATTTTCGTCGATGTAACTTCCGTTACTTAATTTTCCATCAGCAAATTGACAAATTATGTGATGCGATGGTTGGAAGCAAGGCCCGGAGAGTAAAATGTTATCACCACCTAGCATCATAACCGACTGTGGTGAAACAACAAGAGATCCTGAAAAGCAAATTAAAGATAATAGATCAGGGTGGCAACCGAGTAGGACAGCATTAAAGGATTTTTAGAGGGGCACCACTATCTGCTAATTCTTGAAATGCGGTTTGCTAAAATTATGAACGAGTACATTCAACGGGCGTCAGCCACCAGCAGCATGTATTTTAGGCGAATCAATAGGAGGAAAGCAAAAAGTATTATATGTAACAAATTTTCCCGAGACAGCAAAATGAAAAATTTTTAATTTAGTCTAATGTTATCAAGTTGCAAGCCGGCCTTTTTTATGTCTCCACTTATGGCGAAAGAGAAACGTAAAAACATAGTTGCATATATGAAATGCTTACTACCAAGAGAGATGTTGTATCAATGTTTTCTTTGTTGCAAATGCATCTTTGGGTCTTTTCCATATTTGACCGTACAGTGTCCCTTATAGCTATGGTCAATTTGACAAGTGTAATGGTATATACGCTAGCCTCGATTCCCTACCTCTCTCCTAAATAGAACACGAGTAAAGTGCTGCTCGACATCTACCTTTTGTATTACAGCCAGCAGCTTCGATTTTAGCGTTGTCAATGCGGAACATCCATCGACCTGACACTCCAACATTCGACTTGTTTGGTAGATCGAGCACTTGACTGGTACGAGATCCCGGGATATTAAAATAACGAAACCCGTCACCAGCATTAAATCCTGCCTATTAGTATAAACAAAAAAAGACATGTTAAGTATCAAAAACATATTCACAAAGAAGATAACTTCATAAAGTTAGTATACCTGTGCAGGTATGCCTCCAATACCTTCGCTATCTCCACCACTTTGCGTTGACCTGCCAGTAGTCCATATGAGTTTGTTGTAAGTAAAAATCACAAAAGAATGTCTTCCATTTGAAATAAGAACCGCCTGGAAAGTGTTTCTCTAAAAAGAAACAATAAGAGGGTAAGCAATCAAAACAAGAAAGCAAATATCATTTTTGTTTTTGAACTATTTTCCACACACCTTATTTTTGTAAGGTCCTTCAGCGCCATAAAAAGCCACCTCGTGCCACGTGGCAATAAATAACCAATTGGCTTTAAATTTTCTATGATCCACAAAGTTGGCTTGGACGTCTTCGCTCGCCTGTTGAAGGAGGGCTTGATCCGTGGTTTCTCGGTAGAACACTTGTCCCGCTACACGAGTATCAACATCAGCCCAAAATGGTGCAACCAATCGACGATTATCCCCCAGGGGAAAAGAATCCGGTGTAAATTGAGAAACTTGATCCAGGAAGGAAATAACGCCATTGGTGTTTACCTGCATGGAGAAATGTATCGTTCATGACTTCTGCAAGTCTTAAAGAGAAAAGAGCTGTAATAAATACTCTTGCCTACGCTAACTACATTCTCCTAGTCCATGATCATTACAAAACAGATGTGAAACTAAAACCTAAATTTTGCGTTATATTTTAGTCCTATCACAACTAGACCAAATAAAAAATACCAAACGCCTTCAGAACACTGCAAAACGTCTACTACTAGACAACACGGACAAACAGCAACTACCCTTCGATCTTTACATAGGATACCCAACATATTTATGGACTATTCGTCTCTAACATAACTTTCATCTCTTCCAGCGGTACTCTTATTCTTTTTCCTACCATGACGTCCATATAATCTCATTCTGAACCAGCAGTGTGTCACGGGACACTCTTCAGTGACTCTTCCTGAACTGTCAAAAGCTCCTTCTGATAGCTCTCTATTTTTAACCGCCCTTTCTGCTACATAAAATTATAACAAACGAGCCTTCAGAAATAATTGTCGGATTATGTTAGACTATAAAAATCCCCATTTGTATATTTTTATTACTAAAGGTCATGCAAAAAGGGCATACTTTTCAGAATACCGTATCGAAGCCGGAGATCAAATCAGAGAAGTGCGCAAAATCATGTGATTTCTAAGAAAGCTTTACATTAAACTCGAGTTGTTGTCTTTTGGAAATAACAGCGGAAATGGCTGTGGTTTTGTAAATCAATTCCACAGGAAAGCCTTTATATCTTATCTGGACATTGAAATGTGAAATTGCTATTAAACATTCAGTGTATCTAGTTCGGCGCTTAGTCGGTGTGCAACATTCTTTTCTTTTTGACAGACTGCAAGCTGCTCTGATGGTGTCCAGCCGTGTTCATTCATACTTTCATTTCCAAGAAATGTTCTGCATCTGTCGCAGGAGTTATAACAGTACTGTATGAAACGTATGCCTTGTGGACTACATGATATAACAAAATTATACTTACAAAGAGTGACTTGTGATTCTGATCGAAGTAAGGGAAAGAAATGGATAGCGGCACCTCTCCTGAGCTACCATCATCATTTCGTTCAACTGACTGATCTCCCTCATTTCCTCCAAAAGGATAAAATCTCGGAAGTTTTTCAGTCTTCAAAACCTTGAATTGTTGATTCCACAAGAAAATTACAAATAAAACTGAAACTTCTAACCTCATTTTTTTAAAAAAAATTAGCTTTTCTGAATTCTACATACAGTTTCCTCAGCAAAATTCTGTAGAATATTCCTGATTAGACGTAGTTTCGGAGTTTTAAGTAATTCCACGAACACCTCAAGAGGGGCCGTTCCCCACGTTATTTCCTAAAGTTACGTTACGATGCCGTCATAAGCTATTTTAAAAATGGTAGGAGATAATGCAACATAAACAATCCTTTGCTTTCCACATTTTAAACAATGATGCTCAGAAATGCAAAATGTACGTTGTCGCCTATACATTGTTGTTTTATTTTCTTGCCCTTACTAAGAAGTATTTTAAATCCGGTCACAGAAGCGGTTCATGAATAGGGCTTTCTCCCCCGAACCTTTTTTTTGCTGATAATGTCACGTTGCAAGTGATATGGGGTCTCCAGGTCATGTTGTTACAGGGTTTAGATTTCGGTTGGAAATTTCCTGTCGGGAAAAAACTTCAAGTATTCTTTCAATTTCAAACTTTGAACAGAAAACGCCCGCTTCCATGAAAAAACACCTTTTATGACTGATAAAATCATCGTAAAATGACGAAGGGTAGATTACTGTTGGGCATCTCGCTATCCACCTTGCAACCCGTTTTCATCTTTAGTTTTCATGACCTTACATAATGATCCGAGATCTTTTAGCTTTTTTTAGTTTTCAGCGTTTTTTAAAGCTGTAAGTTTAATAATTTAACTCACGTCTATGATTCTCTGGCAAGTGCATGCTGAAATTACCCGCTGGTCTGTTTTGTTGTAGCCAAGGTAGAAAGTGTCAGTACCCGGTGATACAGACCCGGCGTAGTCAATCGAACGTTCGGTAATCGATCCCAATCGAACTTCAATCGTTCGATTGACTTCGATTGGGTTCGGTAATCGAACTTAATCGTATCCACCCCAAAATTTTGCCAATCGAAGACTCTGCTACAACAATCGAAATTAAAACCAGTTTCATCTGGTTTCAAACAAAAGGCGTTGCGTTCAAATAAGTTATACATTGGCTTCAATTTCAAACACAAGTACGCAAAGATGTCACAGAGGGCAGCTGAGGGCGGAAAACGTGAACACTTCTGGAAACGATGGTTAAGGCTACCTCGAGTCCCCGCTTTCGCCGTCAGTGTCGATGAAAAGTTTATTATTAAGAAGAAAAGAAGACATCCAGCTCTGAAGGTAACTGACGATGGCCGCGGCCAACTTGGACATTTGCAACGTGAACTGGTGCATGTGCATGCATGTTTCTTAATATCGAATATATTGATTTTAGATAATTCCAGATTAATTGAAATATTTTTGTTTTCAAACTGCTTCAAATACATACTAGGGGAAATATCTTTTCGATTCAGTCGAAACTGGATGCGTTTTGTCTTTCTGCCAAACAAAATCGAACTAATCGCGACTATTGGTTCGATTGAGTTCGATAATCGAACTGACCGAAAAGTTCCAGTTCAATTATGTTTGATTACCGAACCAATCGAACAACAGTCCAACCGACTTCATTCGATTGACAACGCCCGGCACAGAACACGCGCCACTGTATCGAACTGAAACAGTAATGTTGCTCTGTTTATAGTGCTCAAAAGAAGGTTTGGTAAAAACAGTCGAAGATACGTCGAACAGAATACGGCTCAGAGTTTTAAATTCGTCATATATTTTAAGTTTAAGTTGTTTACAAGACCTTTTGTAACGATCAAGAAGTGAATTATTTTCGTAAAGTACGGGGTAGTCTGAGAGTTCACATTCAGTGATTATCTTCAAAACGTCAAACTAGTACTGTTCACGCTACTTCGTCTGAAGACTCGAATCCACGGTTGCTCCCCTACAACAGCTCCTGTGATGTAGGCATCCTTTTTCTCCTTGCTGGCTTGATTTTCTGAAAGTTAAATATCTTTTGTTAATGGACCAATTTCCATGTATTAACATCTAAACTTGCCCAGAGGCTTGGGAGAATAATATAAAGAATGTTATTCATTCACGAATCTTGGGTGGTTTTTTTGTTTTCTCCCAGTGGCTATTCGTACGGGACCCGTACACCGACTGACGGTATTAGCTCTCCGATTCATACGGGATTCTAACTGTATGTTGATGCCGAAGCATGCTACTTCTGTTAGTACTATTCCTCTTGGTACTGTTTACTAGCATGATACTAGCACTATCACTCAGTTTAGTCAGTTTAGCATTTAGAAATTTTTTTATGAAGCTGAGTATGATCAGGAGAAGTATGGTCGGGGAAGGCTGTGGCAGATAGAACCTTTTGAGATCTGTATAATTCTTCAGATCATACAAAAGCCGAATCCAATAATTGTTTTGTTATTAAACATTATTGTCATTTGATAGATAGGACCTTTCCCAGTAATATTGTCTTTTGAATTTCCCAAGGGTTGATGTTTCTTAGAATTTCTCTGACAACCTTCTCTGAGCCTTTCTTAATCACTCCTAACGCACCTATAACCACTGGAATTATTTCTGTCTTCATCTGCCACATTCTGGTAATTTCGATTTCCAGATCTTTATACTTGGAACGTTTTACGGAAACCTTGGTGGAGGTATTGTTATCGGAGGGTATAGCTGTGACGAGCGCCAAGCTGGGAAAACATTAGGGATTGTCACATAACAATGCCCCTATCCCTGAAATTTTAAGGGGACCAATGTGCAGGTCTACTGATTGTTCTTGATGACAATGTCAGGGCGGTTAACAGAAATTTCTCTCCCATATGAATAGGCATGTTATTATTATTAAAACTATTATTATTATTATTATTGCTATTATTATTATTATTATCATTATTATTATTATTATTATTATTATCATCATCATCAATGTTTTCCTAGAACGCAATAGATTTAGTCTTAATATTTGTCCTCCCTCTATTAAATTTACTCAGTGCCAAACAGTTCTCCGAAATTCATTAAAAGAGTCACCAAGTGATTCCTTAAAAGATCTCTGGAAATCGTCAAGCTGTCACACTAATATTCAATATGATGTGTAGAAATCCACTAAGGAAGTTCTTAAAGATTTCAGTTCTAATCAAGAGTATAAACTACAACACCACCTAACATCTCAAGGTTTCTTCTTCTCAAATGTTATCAAGTATTCATTGTCATCTGTAAATTCTATTTGGTCAGAGGCCCAGGCTCATCTACCCAAGAACATTTACAATTTTACCATCCGCTACATCAACAACTCCCTCCCTACACGTAAGAATATGGCAAGATGGGGATTATCACAAAGTCCTGATTGCTCCTTTTGCCTTAATCCTGAATCACTCCTTCATGTTGTCGCTAGTTGTCAACAGTACCTTGATCGCTTTACCTGGAGACACGACTCAATCCTTAACTTCATTGCCAAGTCACTTCAACCTGTAATTAATGTTCACTTTTCACTCTATGCAGATGTTAATGGTTTTCTGAATCCCTCAGTAATAACAGGTGAAAATTATCGCCTAGATCTTCTTTTCCTAATCCAGTCCAAGTGCCTATATGTTCTAGAATTAACAGTTGGTTTCGAGTCTAACCTTAACAACAATGCAGTGCGTAAAAAAGAAAAATATCTGAACTTGATTAACGAAATAAGTAGCAGATGTGTGAAATTTGTAAATCTCTCCATGAGCTCCCTTGGCGTTTTCTCCGATGAATGCTCCACGTTCTTAGACATGATGAATGACATTGGCATTGACAAAAAGCAGCAACTTTATATAATCAAGAAAATGATAAATATAGC